GTGGAATATTAATAAAATGTGTTGAGAATGATGTTGCTTCCATTAGGTTTGTTTAGAGTCATTTGGGGGAAGGGGGGGCGTCTATTCCAAATGAGGCTGTACAGGGGGAATTTATTTGAGGGGCGTTTATTCAAATAAATATGGCATACATTATAGAAATTACAATATGAAATTTGATTATGAATTTCATATAATATAAAATCTACAAACAGGTAGTTTAAAATAGCTCCATGTACTGTACCTTCTTAAAGTATGTTAATGATTTATCCAAGTTTCCTTGAGACATAAGGAGGGAGCCATACAGCTTGTAGCTTTCTCCGACCTCTTCACTTAGCTCACCATATACTGTACACTTAGCTGATATAATACACTTCAATAGTTCTATTGCTTCCTGTTATTATTTAATAAAACAAAAAAATAATATTAATATGTTTACTTTAAATTTCAATTTTTGCTACAACTTAGCCATTTTGCCACAACATGCCTCATATGTTAAACAACACAGTACACTTTTTTGAAAATAGTACAGCATTGTCTTCCAGTGTACTGCTATTTCACCAACAGAAGAAACCCATTGGAAAATACGTCTTTGAACTTTCATGGGAAATCTTTGGTGTTCCAACCAAAGAAATCCACTCTGGTCCTACCAGTAACTTACATCGGTACGCTGGGTTCGTATTAATAACTTGCAGAGTTCCTCTTGTACTTCAATAGAATTGGTGTGATGCTCCCCATGAACAACGCTGTATGTACCTAAGCTTTCTTCAAGGTAACGCTCAGCGGCAGCTGAAAACCAAGTAGATTAGTACAGTAGTAAGGAGCTTGATAGCAAAAAAGCAATCAAAGCCGATGAACTCATATTCATACAGTCATATTCAATGGTGGTTCTAGGACAGAGTGAAGGAAGCAGTCTAGGAAGGGATTGAGAATTTCAATTGCAGGTTATAGTAGGCCAGTGGCCTTTGATCAGTGATCAGGACAAAATCCAAGTGGGCCACACCCTGAGCTTCTAGAGAAACTTAAAATTTTAGGCCATTTTAAGCTCTACCAAGACATTTTTAATGTATTACCGTAAATGCTTAAATATGCGCCCAGGCGCTTATAACATTTTTGGAGGCTTCAGTGCGGTGCTTAATCGAGAGCCACGCTTATAGAAACATGTTGGCTTGGTGCTGCCCATGCCCTTTCCCATGTTACCTATTTCACATATTCCCGTATTTCGGTAGGCCCATCATAGTTTTGGTCCTAGTCATCGTAAGTAAACATTTATAAAGAAATGCTTGCGTCTTCATTGTGTTATTTATTAATTTTAAGGAAAAATAATCAGGTTTGGTGGGGCGCTTATTCGAGAGCAGAGCTTAATCGCGCATTTACTGGTATCCAATAGGGTACTTGGCCTGTTTGGCTAGGGTTCAAGTCCCCTGCTCCCACTGATGGCTGCATTATCAACTAATTATATTGATAATTCCAAGAAAACTTACTCTCTGCCTCAGATGTGCCTGACTTAGCATAGGCTAAGGCGAGTTGATGTGCCGTCTGCCCTGTTAGTTCCTGTGGTCTTTTTGAACTACCAATTATAAAATAAAAAACGAAAACACAGTAGAATATTTTATATTAAAATAGAATGCTTTCCCTACAAGACTTGTTGGGTAAAAATGAAGATTCTAATTAATATAACAACAACTTACTGATAAAATATAATTTGTTGTTGCATTATTATTTGAGATATGCTTTTCTGCAAGATATTTTATGAAATGAAATGCTGCTTATTTTGAAAATTGTAATTAATAATAATAAAAAAATAATGAATGTGATAATTCAAGTGAGTGCCTTCTAAATTGTTGATAAAGATACACAGATAAAATGATTTATCAAAAAACATATAACAAGAACACACACTCATTAAAATTTGCACTGACGAATTATAACTAAATTTTCTGAGCCTGCTATTAATGTCTGGGAATGATTGTATTTTTCTAAGTTGCCTACTGTACGTGTGTGCTTGTTGTTCGTTCATTCACTAGGGTACACTCACTGCAAGACCCACAATGAAGGTTTATGGACCTCACTTATCTTGTAGGGGGAGGTACATTTCATTCCCATATATGTTCACATATACTGTATGTTCTTTTTTCATACTTTGAAGATGCTATGGAATGGGCCTGGAGAAAGTACTCCACAGCCCTATCGTGGTCAGCTTTGTCCTTCTTGCTCTGTTCTAGCCTCCCCATGTCCTGGTATACTGGAACTAACTGACTACTTCCACTCCCAGAATCTTCCTCAATCAGTTTTAGAGCTTTCTCGAAATATGTAAAACCAGGAGAATGTCTCCCTTGACTAGCACATAACCTACATATGAAGGAATTTAAGGTACACATCAAAAAATGTTCAAGCAATTAATGGATAAACACAGCAGTGTAGTTCAACAAATAAACTAAATAATGCAAATAATCACTTTGTAAAAAATCATTATTTTCGTAAACAGTAATCCTTGTACAATATTACAAGCAAGTGTGAAAAATGTTAAGTCATACAATTAAAAAACTAATGACAAATTAACATAATATTTTGTTATTTACAATGTACTAACCTTGCCAATGCTAATGTCACTTTGATGTCCAAATCATTCTGATTGTATAGTTTTCTTCTCTCTTCGCAACTTCTTTCTGCCTTTGCCAAGTTTTGCTCAGCTTGAGGGTATGTTTGTCATGTTAAGAATCATCACCTAATTTGAGATAATTACATCTACCTTAAAATGAAAGAATATAAAGTGTTTGAAAGCCTTACCAATAACGCTACACTATTATTTACTATATATCAATTATGTAATAAAAACATTTCATTGGTCAATTCCTCCTGATATGCAGTAGAATATTTCTTAATACTGCCCTAGTACGTGCATATTTAGTACTACCCAAAATCGATTATCACATGCCTAGCTACATGAACCATATGCGAACTGTGTAATTTTACCCTCACAGCGCTTGAAATGGCTAATGCAGACGGACATTTTGCTGTTTAATATTTACGACGTATAGCAAAACAAATACAAGTTCACATCAGGAGGTGGTCCCAATCATCCAACACCTTGGAAGTAGAATTCACTGTTTCAGCCCAAACCCTGTTTTATACTAACTACTGTAATACTATTAGGAGTAAACAACAAAGGATATTTTTTAAGAATAGTGCAAGCTCTTCCTAAGGTGTAGTATGTTGTAATCAAGGCCAGGAGCAGACCAGCTTTGTCCTCTGTGCTATTGGTAGAGTGAGCTTCCTTCAGTAACATGTTTTTAGCAAGGGTTGCATGATGCTCTGCTTGAGGGGCTAACTCTGCAATCAACAACACGTCAAATTATACATTAGTATTTTTGCAATGCTTCATTTTATTATTAAAAATTAATGATGCAAAAGAAATACTGAAATTTAAAACCTACCATAATAGAGAAACAAAAAGTATAGTTTGTCCAATTGGGATTTTAATCAAATTCCTGTGGAGTTGATGCAGGGCCTCTGGGCACTGCAGCTGCCAGGCTCCAATAGCATGAGTCTGAGGGCTGATAAAGGCCCCAGCAGGGTCCAGGGACAGAGCCCTGGTAGAGCTATGGGAGCCCAAGCTACGGCCTTTTATGAAGATACCAAATTTAAACAACTACAGTTGAAGTTGCCTAAGTATAATCCAAAATGCCATTGAAAAATTTTTGGGCTTAGATAAAATTCGACTTACAGATTGTTAATTATTTAGAGATCTGCTTAGCTCAGTCAGCTAATCTTGTGGCAGCCACTGTATGTGCGCTGAACCGTGAAGATTTCTAGGTCCCCAGTTCAATTCCCATCACTGCCTCTCCTTGTGTTTCAGCTAGAGGGCTGAAATACAAGTTACAATAGCGCACCGTCTTTCGGGTGAGACGTTTAAGCCGTTGGTCCCGTGTGCATTTATGGCCCATGTGCACGTTAAAGAACGCAGTACACCCTTCGGAAAAGAGTAGGGGATTGTCTCCGGGTGTACTGCCCAATCACCACCAGAAGGACCCCACTGAAAGTAAGTCTTCTTCTAGACTTTCGTGGGCTATCCTTGGTGTTTACACTGAATAAATCCAATCCAATCCAATTCAATTAATAGAAAACACAACAATTTGACATGTAAAATAAGATCGACTTAGAAATTATTCAGGTTAGGCAAAGTTAACTTAGGCAAGTTTAACTGTACAGGCAAATTTTTTCCTAGGCCTCTATGTGTTGGTCTTCTTGTACAGCTCCCATTGATGCAATGCTCAACAGAGAACACTGTACAAAACTTATCAAGTTATTACTGTTTTGAATGAACAAAGAAGAAGGAATTGTATAATTACCTCTTAGTTCCAAGTAAGCCTGACCTAGGCTAGCATGACTGTGGGCTAACTTCCAGTGACCATCCCCATAAACCAGCCTAGCGAGTGCTGTACATCTGATCCACTCTGTCATTGCTAAATTCACCTGAGGAGGAAGGGGAGGGGGGGGGGTGTATTTGCATCATCAATTATCATGAGCAATTCAATGTTATTTAAATACTCAAACAAATGTCTAACATCCAGAAGATGACTAATTAGTGTCAAAATATCAAATCCCAAAAATATTATCAACCTAACTTTTAACTGTATCATACATGTATACATGTATGTAGTTCTTGGCACAATAGCATGTTTGACTAAATTGAATTACCTCCACCAAGGAGGTTATGTATTCACTGCTGTTTGTCTGTCTGTCTGTCGTTCTGTCTGTTAGCAAGATTACGCAAAAACTAATGAATGGATCATCATATAAAATTAATTGGAAAGGTCCATAATAATCAAAACAGACACCATTCTATTTTCGGAAGAAATGGTCAAAGGACAAGGTATGGGTCATGGAAATTTAATTTTTTACCCTCAAGCATAAAAGCAAATAATGGAATCGCCCCATGTATTCAGGCAGCACTCAAGGAAACAATGTGCCTATCGCCCATCTGCATATTGTTGGTACTGCATTTAGGCACAGTGCCCCGTAGTTGGGGAAATTGGACCTACCTGTCAGGCAAATCCTGGTGCCACCCCTGTCAACAAATAATTCTGTTATGATCATAATGAAAATACAAGCAAAGTAAATACAAAAAAGATTAAAATATATTTCTTTACCTTATTTTTTGCTGTGAATTTCTTTGCATATTTTTGAGTCATATGTAACCTATCTTCTGGTGAGCCTTTCTGATATCCAGATTCTAAAGTCCCTTCAGAACCATATTCTGATGACAGCATGGAAGCATCATCAGACCAAACACTACTGCTTAAAAATATGAAACATTATCGGCTTATTCGACTGGTTCATTTCGTTAAGTACAAATTTTTGTACGAGTATTATTTTCATTCAACTGGTTCGTAAAATAGACTTCTTTGACAACGAAAATTAACGTAACTAGAATGCGTTAATCAGGGTTAAGTTATGCATGTGACCAAAAAAAAAAAGGCCGATTGGTAAGTTTAGCAACAAGATTTGCGTTAAGATAATTTAGATTAAATTTCAGAAAATAAAAATTATCATATATACCCACATTGAAGTAAAAAAATAATTGTAGGCTAACAGAATTCAAAAACAGGATGAAAACATTTTTTTTACAAAAACCCATACTGCCACAATCCGAAGCAGCCTTGATTACGCAGCGTGAATCGCGGTAACTATGCAGCCATTTTGTTTTTAACAGTTTTAACATTTAACACAAAAAAATTATGCCTGTGGCACTTGCAAGAAGAGAGAAATATCAGTACATAACTTTATGAAATTACTTGTAATTTTTGGAAATGATTCTATAATATTTTGGTTTAAAAAAAATGGCTCATGGTGAAAAATGTTATTTAAGTATTACGAGGTACTGTATTATGTTTATACCGGTTTATAAAATGAGCAATACAAAGCCAAATGTTATAATTTAATAATCCTAATTTGCATCTCAAATGTATTGTGATATCTGCCTCGTTTTAAAAATTGAGTGAAGAATTAATAAATGGATCTTGAAAAAAAAACAATGCTTCTGCAACTGGTATTATCATATGTTCGATAGGGTTACCTTACCACCAATGGTGATTACTGTTTTACGAATTTCAAATTGGGAAGATGATGTGTGAAGTTTTACTGTACGTTACTATAGTCTAATTGTACAATAATATGTGATTATGGAAATAAAAGGTTACGCAAAAAACAAAAACAAAAAAATTACCTGGTATCTTTCTGGTCTAAATGGTCTTCTTCTTCTTCATCATGAGTCCCAGATTTCTCTCCACTGCTCTCGTCACTCTCAAAACTATCTGAAAATGACATCTTCCCCTGAAATTAAACCAAAATGAATTGTAAGCATTTGATTTGATCCAAAGAACTATGTTGGAAACTTCAGATTGTACTCCATGTTAATTATGTTAGTGAGTGATAAAGTGATTGCAACAGGCCACAATCTTTTTCCCATTGACCAATGACAATGGATGTAATCAATTGACAGACTCGTCGTACGACGTAGAAGTAGCCTATGCAAACTCACTTCACCTGCCGATGAAAGATCAGTGCGTGAATGATGATGGACCTGAAGTGTATGAAAAATTTATCTTCTCTTTAATCCAGGCTAGGCCTAGAGACTGTTGATGAGGTACGACTGTTGATGAGGTACGACTGTTGATGTGGTACTGTACCAGACAAATCCCTGGCCCTGCATGTTGTGTGTGACCACCGCCCACCTAACATGAAACAAAAAATAGGCTAGCATAGCTAGGCCTTAGGCCTAGTAGTAATGGGCTAGCAAAGGTTCGGTAAACTAGCTAAGAGTAAGACCTAAGCGCCATACTTTTGGTATATTTGAATATCGATATTTATAAACTTACGGTTTTTCAAGTCAACAAACCAGATGTGTGCGTGCTGGAGCACTAGCGTGAAAGAGATTGTGTGTCATGTTGTCATGAACACGTTTCCAGAGTATTCAAATAGTTTGAATTGAAATAAATACAAAATACAATATTATATTAATTATAATAAACACTATTACAAATTATTTAGAAAAAGTTTTAATTTCAAGTATTTTAACGTTAGATAACAGTCAATAAAGGAATTAATCGGGATACATTCTTTACCAAATTTTTCTGGCAATTAATAATCTTTGCAGCGTGCTACGTCATTTCCGAGAAGATGGCAGAAGCACCCAGCTGGAGTTTACTTTCACTTGCAAATGGACCTTCAATATTATTGATTTGCAGTTATTAAAGTATATATTATACTGTCATTAATTTCCATATCATTTTAATTTTTGAATAGTCCTGTAAATATTATAAGAGAAGAGCTTTTAAAATTATCTGCAACATGCTTGATTGGTGCAGCTGTGTACCTTGATGATTCTGTTCTGACACGGGGACTAACAAAAAATCATGTTTTGGTTTTGCTAACCTGTAACAGGTAGCACACGAGGGACAGAGAAGGCCAGCAGATGATGATGTTATCTTGCGCATGTGTCGAATATTCCATTGTGTCACCAGGAAACGATGATTATATTTATAATATTTTAAAATATAGGAAATTTATGTAACAGGTCAGTACTGTATACAATTGGACACCAAACACAAATATTGGATACCAAAAAATTATTTGTTGAAACAGGGAGTTGTTATAACAACACCCTTGTTAAAACAAGACCAAACCAAAAATAGTAAAACGCGTTGTGATGTCTTTTTCAAATGATTGTTCCATTTATTATAAAATTGAATCCGTAAATCCGTAAATATCATTAATTGATTACACAGATGGTAGGCCTACAGATGCCTTTTATTTACTATTTTAAGGGCGCCCTCTATAAACACACGCCTGTCAAACTTTCGAAAATTATCTACAATATTTCATAAATATAACAATAATAAACAACGTAAAATCTGAATCATACCGTTACATAAGCCTATATTTAAAGTTATGAATATCACACGCTGTGATGTGTCAAAAATTCGGTGTCGCCATCATCGTCAGACTGACTGGCCTCATAATCCCATCACCATCCTCATCTTTGCTACCACAATCTATGAATCCATTTTATGGGTCATGATGGCATCCCGGGAAATGGCACTCAGACTTTCGTGTGTAATTTCCTGTTTTCTTTACGCCACAATTGTTTTAATTTTCAAAACAATTGTGAGGATGTGGGGGACCCCGGCCACTTAATCCTCTTATGTATGATTATCAGGGCTTCCGTGGGCCCGTGGCATAGCCTATTCGCTACCCGGGTCCATTGGTTAGGAGGTCTGGGGGCCGCTGGCTCCAGTGGATCGATGGGCAGATTCCTGGATTTTTATAGGACTAATTGAATCAATTATAGAGTGCAATTTCACGAGGTCATGAAAAATAAAGTATAGAAACATGAAAAGTAAAGAGCTATCCTTCCTTTATTCAAACGTGCTGAAAAGATTCATGACATACTAGGCCCCTATGTAAAGTTTACAGTGGTGAATCCATTGAGATAGAGGGGGGGGGGAGGGGCTCAAAGAATGACTTTCACTAATGGACGGTCTATCTACTTCAGCCCAAGTATGTTGGGACTGAGTTGAAAAAAATATGATTATGGCACCTCTGGACGGCAGGAAATTGCACTCTTCTTAATTTGAATATAATTTTTTTTTTTTCCCCAATTTCTGTTAAATTTTGAAAAAATTAGGGGGTGCGGAAACCTGGCCTCCCCTGAAATCCGCTCAATTCATTATTATTATTTTTTTTTTGGACAATCGAATCCCTATCAGGTCTCGTATTTTCTAACTTCTTTTGGTATATTGACGATGTCCAGAGAAATTCCTGGGAAATATTTCGAAAAAAACTTTGGCATATGCAGAACAATTGAAGAGCATTGGTTTCTCTTATAATATCTTGGCATTTTAAGCAACATTCTTTGATTTATTATAGCATACATTGACAGAATGTAAGAATTTCATATCACTGTAAATCATACAGTGGCGTAACTAGGTTCTCTGAGCTGGAGAGGCCCTGGTTCGAGAGCCCTTGACGCATATATACATGCAGTATTAGCAATTACTACTGTTTTACTGAAGTAATCCATCCACCGCCAAACATCATTCCCATGAAATCGAGTATTGTAAAATATTATTTTTTAATTAATGTTAAAAGTGAAAGTACCAATATTGTAACTATAATCTTTTAAAGAAAGAAACCTATACAGGCCATATGCCTACTTGTATTTAGCGTTTGGGTTGACAAAAACCGGCACTCGTATCTCCGCAAATGTTTATTTCCATTTTCTGTCAATTTAGTAGCTTTCTCAGTGAAAAACACTACTCTTCCAAGGGGCTCCACAATACAATAAAATCTACAGAAGAAACTAATCTACAATAAATCTTAAGCTATTACTGTTTGAATTTGGAGTAAAGGACAGTCTGGTACGCTTTTCTCTTGTCGAATTAATTCGGCTTGAGACATTAACAACTTGATTTTCTCGCTGGAGATCATAATGTACTATCAATTGGATTGTATACGTTTTTAAATATATCATTAAAGCCTCATGTAATGTGTTTGCTTTTGGTAGGTCTATACTGATTACTTTGTAAGCAGTTTTAATTATTTACAGTTTGGGGGAGGTGCGGATTTGTTTAATCTAGAGCACACCAAGATGTCTGGAAAAGGCACTCTCAGACTTTGAAATTGTCTTAATTTTAAAATTAGAAAAATTTAACCACCACTTTCTAATATGCCGACATCAAGTAAACTGCAATAATGAAAAATAACTGACACTATCGTTCGTGCAATTTAAATTCAAGCAGACTTTTACACAGAAAACTGCAATTTTAATTGTGAAATAATGGAGAAAGTATAAAATTTCACAAAAAGAGCTTGAGATGGACCTGAAAGCGTAAGTCTCACGCCATAGACTACAGTATGAATAATGCAGGCTAGTGAAGGAGTCCAAGCTGGAATTAATGAGATCCAAAGTTTCCTTTTGTCATGGTGGGACAAGCGCCTCAGCAATCATCAGCGCGGCGAAGCCTTTACATTGGAGGAAATAGAAAGGACGAGCGATATTTCTGTTGGTAACTTACATTGGTGGTCAGGTTTTCATGAAGCATAGATGACGATCTGTTTCACTGTGGATTTCCATCCATCACAATGACATCGGCGTTTGAGTGACAAATTTTACAACTGGGCATAAGGCCCTTGACATGTAGGCCTATAATTGATTATTTTAAAGTTAAATTAACAATTTTAAATGATAAAATTCAGTATTGAATATAAAGATAAATAATATTAATCAATATTTTTCTATGCATTGCTTTATTAGATTTTTTTCTATAAGGTGGCCCTAGATACCGGGGGCCCAGTTTCAATGAACCGCCTGAACCTGTGGAAGTTACGCGACTGCTAGGCAATTTTAACCTATAATGTGCAGTATTATATAAAGATAAATACTATCAATCTAGATTTTTATTTATGCATTGCTTTATTAGATTTTCTATAAGGGGGCGGGGCCCTTATAGATCGGGGTGGCAGGGGGGATTAAGCTCCCACCGGACAGGTCAAGCCCCCCCCCCAGCCGGACAGAGCTCATCGGGCAGTCAGACCCAAAAACATATACAGTAATAGGTCCACCAAGCCAACACATGTCTGTCACAGTCTGAGAGTGCCATTTACGGCCATTTAGAGGTTGATATTCTTTTTAAAAAAATCTCATTTGGGAGCTGGACCCCTCTCAACCCCTTCTCCCAGCTCGAGCCTACGAGCTCAAGTACCCCTGTCGGACAAATTAGCCCCCCAGAAAATATATCCTAGAGCCGTCACTGGTAGTTACACCACTGACCGTCTAGCATTGTGCGGGACGGTCCTGCATTTCAATTAAAAAAATTAAGCGTAAATATATGTCGTGCTACTCACTTACCTATTCTGAAACTGTTGTGCCCCCCCCCCCCTTTGAAAAAATCTGGATCCTCCCCTGTTTTGGATGAAACAAACATTTTGCCAACTCGAAACACATGCGTGATCATAAATTTCTCACGCATTTAGCACAAGTCTATGCCTGATAACGAATTACCACGAATTCAGTGGAAAATGTATTTAAAATTAGAAGAATTTGTTTTATCAACAATATAAAAACGGTCATGCAATAACTCGAGTCATTAGAGAGCTTTCGTTTATCTCATTCGAGATCAATTCACCGACAAAATTTCTCTTTCTCTACCAAAACCCAGCCAACCACGCACTTACTAGAATACGCGTGCGGTCTTAACCAACTGTTGATTTGGCCTATGTGCCTATTAAATAAAGGACCTAATAGGTCTAGCCTAATATTTTTCTTTATAGCCCTAGTCGGGGCCCTAATAGTACATTATTGCTTTGTATTGTATGTACGCACGCCGGGGGTAAATGCGGGGGTCCAATGCATGGGCGGCGGAACCGGGGGGGCCGGGGGGGCCCGGCCCCCCCCCCCCCCCCCACTTTTTGGCGAAAAATATATAATGTCTGGAGAATTTTGTATGATCGGAAATGCAAAAA